CAAAGATTCTTCCTAGAAAAACAAGTTTTCCAGTAGAAAACTGGCTGCACCAGTATCCCAGTCCTAAGCTTGTCAGACAGACTGCTCACGTCTCACAGGGAACCAGCTACTCATGCAGAGAAGGAAACCAGTTTTCCAATTTCTGTAGATATTTAAGACTCTCTAGATGCAAACAAATGCCTAAGGGGATTTTCAAAAGGCACCTAGACATTTCCAGTGTCCTTTTAATAGTCATACAGGTGCCTCTACTAACCACCTTTGGACCTATAGGTCCTTTGAAGAATCTTACCTCATTTATTACAGGGGGAATAAAAGCAACCCTTCCTCAAACTTGTTCCAGCGCGCTATCAGAAGTTAGCAACAACTCTGAAGAAGCCACAGTTATTCAACTGCTGTTGCACACTTTAGCCTACACCTTTGTTCATCGGAGTGAAGTAACTAAAGCCATGTTACCGCTCACTCCAATATGCCTTAAAGCCTGGTCCAAGATTTGAACTATTCTTACAGAAAACCAAGAAATTCCAGTAACCTACATATTTTACTGAATGGAACAAAACTACCATTTGCTAAATTCAAAGAGGGTTTCATTGTGCTGATGCTTCACCACACAACAGGCTCACAGGTGCAACCACCCCCCCACATCGAGTGCAGCTGCAAGCAGGACAATTTCCCTGCGACACCGCACAGCACTCGGGGCAGCTGCTCAATACTCTATACGCTGCAGCATCAGTCTACACAAAAAGCATCTCCCACTTCAGGCAAAACATCAAAATGGATTGCGTCCCCTACCTGACGTCCTCCAGTGGGTTCCTACAGAGTACAACGAACTCTTATTTAATTTCCACACCAAGCGGCAGACAACAACTCTCACTGCTACTCACACCCGCCTGGTGCAACCAGAGCTCTTATAAAGCTCTGCAGCTTGAGCAAGAGGATCAAGTTATTAGTTGAAAACCAACAAATTTTACACTGTCTCCCATGCAGTTTTGCATCTCCAAATTAGAGGTTGCATCTCCAAATTAGATGTTACATCTCCAAATTAGAAAATGGAGAGACAGATTTTGTTTTCATTTAATCCTACTTCAAAGAAGTTAAGATCTACTGTTATTTGCAAATTACCTTTTCCCCTCCACCCCAACCAACAAGGCTGTATCTACTTACGTCATCCTGAATATCCAGGTCACAACCTGCCTTCAACAAAACCTGGACAACGTGGAGATGACCCTTGTGGGCAGCAAGATGCAGGGGCGTCCGGCCATGCTACGGAAGAGAAGAAAATAAGATGAATTTTTATGCATGGTAGTTGACCAGAATTTTATCTGCTTTTCCTCATTGCTCTTTTCATACCTCGCTCTCTGAAACCTGCAATAGTAGCAACTGACATATATTAGTGTACCAAAGGCTTTACCTTGGTTTTGTTTATGCTGAAAACTTCTCCTCCCCCTTTTGCAACATTTCAGTTTATCCCGATAACACTCTACAAAAGGCGTAAGGATAGTTCCTTACAAATTGGGATTCGGCTTTGTGTCCGTGCCTAAAGAGAATTCATGACCCTTTTGTTTCTGTCCCTCCGGAGCACAGAATTGTCAATCGCTTTCAACTTCAGTCTGTACAACAAAGCTGCAATAGTGGGCTAATTCATATATTGTAATGGGCACCATTTTTGCAACAGAAATAAGAATTACTGGACTGTTGTGTATGATGGACGCTGCCCTTAAAAGGAATGAAAGACTTGTAATCACTCCAAATGACTTCATGCGTACAACCACCAACCTCATTTTGCCAAAGATCTGTCAGGTTTTTTTAGACAGTATGGTTAGACAATGGATGGTTCCCTAATAAACAGGACAGAAAAGCTTTAATTAGTGAGATGTATACATGATGTATGGTTTTAGGAGGAAAAAAAAACCCCAAAGATTGAAGTTTGACAGTAAAATAATTTTTTTTTAAAAAAAAAGCATCTCCCCAACAAATGGGTTCCAAAAATCTAAGTAAAATGACAAGAGGAAAACAACAGTCACTTGTAACTGAGCCCCGCTTGAACATCCTTTGACAGAATTTAAAATGCAACATCTCAGGAAAGGGAGAATAGGCTGCTTCTCCTAAAAGAGGCATAAGAATTGATGCAAAAAGAGTCTCAAAGAGGGAAAGGATTGTAAGAGGCAGTCTGGACAAAAGAGGAGAACTACAACAAATGATTCCCTAAACATTTAACCCATACAACCTGAAAAAGAAAACTCATAAGGGAGAATCAAGGATTAACTCTTGCTCTAGGAAGTGTGTGTGTGTGTGTGTGTGTGTGTGTGTATTTCTTCATTACCTATGCTATTGTCTCTTTTTCCACCCAGTGATTCACCCCGCAAAGGAAGATGGCCCTAATATATCACCTACAGAAGGAGCAAACACCTCAAGAGCTGTCTGACTCCTAGTGTCCTGAAGTAAGAAGGCAGCAATCGTCAGCTCTCGGAGGTTTTATGCAACTTCTCCAGCAGGAAAGCTACTTCAAGTAAACAAAAAACCAAGCTCAAGACAGGATTGTTCTCACACAGCAAATCCCATACCCATGTAGCTGGTAAAGCCTCAGGAATTCAGCACCTTCAGAGCAAAAAGGAAAACCAGTGTTGAAATCCAGAGAACGGCTGGGGTCAAAATGTCCATGTCATTACTGACTAGTTGTGCTGTGCTTCAAAAAAGTTAAAAGTTGATTAATTATCCTATATTATCAATTTGAAGGGCCAGACCTCACCCACTCTGACATGCAGGTCTCAAAACCCAAATGTTGTCTCCCGTTACTGGCAGCAGCTCGTTCCCGCATGGGAAACTTCCATTCCCACCCCGCTGAAGGCGTGGGAAAGGCTCACTTTCGGCTGTCACCGCTGCCCCTGGGCGCCACCCAGCCTGCTGCCTGGGTGCTTCTCACTCGACCTGGCCACGGGTCCCTAAACGCCTGCCCCCACGGCGAAGGGCACCGAGCTACACCGAGCACACTTCCTTCTCCATCAGCCTGGAGGAGAGCCAGGGCTATGTCACTGTTCCAGGTAACTCAATAGCAGGAGGCATTTAAGTCTCCAGGCAACATGGGGGGGAGGAGGGGGGAAAGAACAAAAAAAAAAAAAAAAGGAAAGGAAAAAAAGAAAAAAAGTAGAAGCCAGATTGAGAAATCATTCCCAGCTATGAACAATATGTTTGGATTATGAATATGTGCTCCAGCACGTTCAGGTTTATGGGTTCTGACTTTCTACATTACTTAATGGCAATAAGTAAATCACCTAATCCGGGCATCTCACTTCCCAGAAGGTTACTAATACATCATGAAAACAATTTATTGCAATCTGTGCATGGAGCAGAAAAAATCCCAAACAAACTCAACTTGAAGCCAGCTCATGGACTTTAAAAGAAAAGGGGCATCAACTACATGAATATATCCCAAAAGGGAAAGTTTCTGATACGATAATCATCTCTAACCACTGAAAACACGATGAGGTTCAGCCAAAGGTACTGCGTTAAAAATAAACTGTGAAAGTAGAGTATGGGTTTATTTTGATATGAGGGACATGTTTTCCTCACCCAACACACCTTCCTAGGCAATCGCCACACAGAGCGTGCCTGGTGGCAGGGCACGAGCACAAGGAAAGGTTGCAAAACCGCAGAAGATCCAGATCACACGACCTTCACCTGCCCATTCAGTGCTTTAAGGCACGTTAAAATAAAGTCACCCCGGGGAACGGGCTTATCCGGAGGAGGCTGCCCTTGCCCCAGGGAGCACCAAGTTCTCCTGTCATTGGGACTAACCTGTTCCCTGTTCTCAATAGCTGGGCAGCCTCCCCACGCTCATGGCCAGCAACAGGAGATGGGTGCTGGAGGAGAGGGTGCTCACTGGAAGAGGCCACCATGGGACCGAGGAGAGCTGCGGTTTCCCCAGCAATAGGAGAGAGGGCGAGATGTCAGATCAGCAGGCAGAGGGCAAA